ACTCATGGTTGGAAAACCAGAGGAAAAATCAGGGTGCTTGATTTCTAGGCCTGGCTCCTCCCGACATTCAAAAAAAAAAACAGAGAAATTAGAAAGCTAGTTTAAAAAAAAAAAGATTTCAGCCTCTTTATAGTCCCATCTGCCTCTCTCATGAGAAGTCATCAATATGGCTGCCAAGATTTCTTGGTGGGAAAATTATTTTGTAAGATGAAACAATTGCACTTAATTGAACCTTAGTTTCTGGATATATGCCAGTATTTGCATTTACGTTATTAAGGACTGGGGCACAATGGTTTCAATTGAATTTTCTTTCTAAAGGATCTCATGTCTGTAATCCATATCATTTCTATTTTTTAACTACTAGATGTATAATGATGATAAAAGTTTACTTCTTTTTTTTCCTAGACCACACAACAGCCACACATTTCAAATACCAGATACTTACTAACATACTATATGACAACAGAGCAGCATTTAGAGATTTATAATGTGACATGAAATCACACAGAGCAAAAAGGGAGAGAATAAGTGCGTATATAAACAATCTTAGCAAAACTACATCTTGACATAATCTGTGTTTGTTCCTTTCACCACAGTCTTAACCCTTAGGGTTTGAAATCTATCATATAACCAATCTTTAATCATTATCATCTTCTAGGAAAGAATGGTAGATCACTTTTAATTCTTCTAGCTTTAATTAATTCTGATATTTTCTTTGTGTTACACAGATACCTGAATGTGACACTATGTTTTGTTATAAATCTTAGTCTACGTCATTAGTAAATTGGTATCAAGGTCAATAACAACAGGGCAATAATAGTAATAGACCTTTGAAGATTGCGCCTGCCTTTTTATGCTCTGAAACAGGAGGCACAGCTCTACCAGATGAATCAGATCATGAACATAAAACGTCATATTTTTTCTCACTCTCAATTTCAAACTCATTTAATCTCTCAAGAGCACCAGAAAAGGTGGTTTGCTTAAGACTAAACAGCAAGTAAATTGCAGAGTAGGGATTTGTGCCCAAGTCCATCTTCCTGCAAATGTCTGTGTTCCTCCCTCTCTGCCATGGGGCCTCTCACCAGGGTACAGTATTTTCTATACTACCAGAGGAAGGCATGGCCCTCTCAGTGTCGAGAGTATCAGTGGCAGCTCCTGCTGCCCCAACCCTTCCTACCACAATCAAGCAAAAGGAAGTGGTGAGATGGGGAAACAGTTCTGATTGCTGTTCCCTATCTAACTCTGGATATATTTTTCCCATAGAAATAGAGTTAACTTTAAAAATAGTAGCTAGAATCCACCTTCTGGAGTGTCGGGTTGTAAAATAGTAACGAGGTAAGCTTTGCTTGCATATCAGTACTCAACAAGGAGAGAGTAAAGTTATGTTTTCTTATTTTCATATCCCACCCAAGAATATAACTCAGAATCTATTAATTTGTGAGAAAGTACTTCTGCACTTTTTAAAGACCTGAATTAATTTTCCTTATATTAGTTGATGTTTTAACAGAGTATCTGAGCATGTACATGAAACAAAAATAGCTCATTTTTAAACACTTTTAAACTGACATCCTGCCAACCTTCCTAACAGACAAACAAGTTATTTTTAAAAAGATAAAGAAAAAAGAAAAAAAAGTCAGACTCTGGAAATAAGAGACAAAATGATGAAATCCATGAATATAAACTCTCCACAGTTTAATTTATATAAAGAAAAAGAACTGGGTAAATTAAATTTTCAGAGTCCAAAAGAATCAGAGATCATATTGCAACCAGGAGGCAGACCTATCCCCGACATGGATTTAGAATATTTTTAACTTTGGAGGCCCGAAGCTAATTCCTTTCAGTCATATCCTCTTCTTGCTTCTGCTTGAAATCCAAGGCAGTAAATTGGCCCAATTTGCAACATTAGGAATCCCAAGCTCTTTAGATGGGCCCTCCAGGTTCTCTGGGTATAAACAATCGCCATTTTTAAAAAATTGCCATTTAAAAAATAAATGGAATGGCTTACTCTTTCTCCCTAAAGGACTTTTCCATAACTGTCTACTATAACCTTCTTCTGGGGGACTTTAAAACAACAGATTTACCTTTTTTGCTAAGATTGGTATCTGGGTCTGCCTGAAACTGTGCATAAGGGACATTCATTATTTAAGTAACTCTAGTAGATGGTAATTTTGTATCAAATGGGGTTATACAAATAAACTATCTTCCTAACATTCTTATAGTTTTAAGAAGGCAAATAATCCTTATTGATCTAAAAACAAAAGTCTAATCTGCTCTCAGTCTGAAAAGAGTTCTGACAAATTCTATCTTCCAGTGGTATGAAAGGCCCAATAATTGCAAAATTAGGAATATTTCCCTGTAAAATTTTTCTAATTATGTTTTTAATCCAAGATACATTAAAAAATAAACAAAAGCTCCCCCAGACTACATTATCAAATAGTGAAAATAGTGGTCATATTAGTAAGGTAAGGAAAACTAATGTATAGTGATCCATTTGTATCTCCAATTCTGAAAAGAGGACTTCTTTCTTAGGAACAACACAATCATTATTAACTACCTTCCAATATGAAGCTTTCATAAATAAACTTGAAGAAAATGCTTTTTAGCTAGCAGGTTATATTTACCCAGGTCTTTCCAGAGCATTCATTTTTCCCTGTCAGGGCTGATTCAGCTCCATAGCCTACTTCAGCCCAGAGGTAAATAAGAAGGAGAGGATCATTAGTCCATCAACAGGTTCCCCTTAAGCAGTCTCCAGGTGTGCAGCAGCCTGCAGGAGGGGCTATGAAGGGACCAAAAGAGTCTAAGCCACAGCCCTCTGCCCTCCTAGTGCTTTCTATTTACCTTGGAGAACAAGACAGCTCAGTGCACTTCATTATCTTCTAGGAAGCACTGAATTGAAGACTGCATGATTTAAACTCAACTTCTAGTTGAAAAACTTCATGAAATTGTTCACGGAAATGTCATCCAAATGTAGCTGGAAAACTGAGTGAAAGTTGGCAGAAGTGCTGATTTTAAGTAGCATTTTACACTCAAAGGCATCCAAATGAGAAAAAAAATTGGTGTTGGTAGTACAGAATAAAAACAAACATTAAAATATTTTAAAACAAGGGAATGTATGAGGATAGAAAAATAAGAGCATGTGTTGAAAAGGAGTCTTATTATTTTCCAAATTTACTTGTGTTTCAACAAATATTCAAAGGTAAATACAGGAACACCATCTGCAGCTCTAAACTTAACAAATGTGATACAGGATGGTTTTTCTCCTCACTGAATTAATTATTTAACAACATTTAACAAAATTTCACTGAGTGTCTACTCTAGGCTAGGCACTGCAGAAGAGAATATACTGACGAAAAGGACATGGATCCTGCTTTCAGGGATTTTGAGAGGAGACAGGGAACTACAACATGTAACAAACACAATGACGATAGGGTAATATGGAACACCAAGCCTGCAGGGAGGCCCATCTGAGGAAGTAAAATTTAGGTGGACACCAGAAGACTAAGCAGAAATTAGACAAAGAGGGATGATGAAAGAGGCAGAGAAACAGTATGTGAAATAGCTCAGAGGCAAGAGAGAGCTGAACAAACAGAAAGAAATTAAATTCTATAGGGCTAGGGCAGAGACAGGCAAGCAGTGGCGCAAGATAAAGCTGAAGAGATAAGTAGGGCCTGATCAAGGAGGGCTCTGTCCTAAGAGCAATAAGAAGTCACCGGAATGTTTAGAAAGGGGAATAACATAACCAGCTTTGCATTTTTTAGAAGATCACTCTAGCTACAGTATAGAGTAGGGAATAGTGTGGTGCAGGGGTGACTGATACAAGGCTGTCACAAGCCTGTAAGACTGAAATGGTGACATCCACAGAAAAAGAGATGTAGAAAAATTTAGGAAATATTTAGGAGGTAGACTTATAAGCATTCCGCTTGGTGATGGAATATAGGGAGGAAAGAAGAAGGAGACAAGGATATCTTCCAGGTTTCTGACTTGAACCACTGGGAGCTGAAGGCAGAACAGGCTCGGAGAAGGAGGGGTAGGAAAGTAATGAGATTAGGACTGGGATAAAATTTGAAATGCTTGGGAAACCAGACTGAAGTGAGTTCCAAAATGAGCAGGAAGCAAAAAGTGGAGAATAGGTGTGACGGGGAAGAAAGAGAGAGTGCTAAATATGTAGTTGAAATAGAACAGTTTTTAAAGATGAACTTAGTAAACTTAGGAGCCAGTAGAAAGGGAGGTAAGAATAATATAAGGATCTTTCTTTTGAGTGCTACCAGCCACAGCATTTAGCACTTTAAAGATACTATCTCTTTTAATCTTCACAATAACCCTATAACATAGGTATTATTATCCCCAACTAACACACAAGGAAACTGAGGCTGAGAGATATTATATAATTTGTCCAAGATTTCATAGTAACAGACCTCAAATTTGAATCCAAGTATGTCTGATTACAAAGTCCATGCTCACAATCACTAGGCTACATACAGGATTTAGGAGAGAGACAGGATAAAAGAACAAGCAAGATCCCTCTAAGGTGGAAGAGGATGACACCCAGACTTTAGGAAATGAAGGAAAACCTTTTTCATAACAGAAGGGACAGAGGAAAAATAACCATGTGGGAAGGTTTATACTTTAGATGACAGATGAGGAAGGAGTTTTCCATCTGAAGATTTCTATCTTTCCTCTTGACTTGGAAGTAGTCATTTGCTGAGTATTAACACAGAATTAATGAGTGAGATGTTTGAGAAGAGTAGAAAATAACTGAAATTGTCATTCATTCATTGAACAAAATTTTTCGAGTGGCCACTACGTATTGGGTACTATTCTAGGGACTGGGGTTGCAGCAGTAAAAAAAGAAAGGTAAGTTTCCTGTTCACATGATCCTTAAGTTTTGTAGGGGAACACATAAAATAAACAAGTAAACAAATAAAAAAATTTCACATTTGAAATGTGCAGAGTAATGTGACTGAGAGTGTTTAGGGAGAATTGCTTTACATGAGGTACTCAGGGGAAGATGTGTCTGAGGCAGTGGACACAAGCTGAGACTGGAAGGAGCAGCCCCAGGGGAAGTGCACTCTCATGGAGAATGGATTGCTAGGTAATGCCGAGGGGGCAGATGAGATGGGTGCCCATGTATTTACAGTGACATTCATCTGTCTCACTCCGTATTTTTCTCCAACATTTGTCACCCATAGTTGGGAATTTCCCTGGCAGATATGACTGATAATGGGGGGCAAGTGTTTAGTAAGTTGACAAGAGAGAAATTAGAGTTATTGTCCATGGAATCTAAACTGAAGAGAAAGAATAGTGAGGAATTTGTCCCACAATTGCAAGTCCCCATAAGGCTGAAGATTTGGTGCATAAGCTGGAAAGATAAAGAAATTATGGCCAGAGAGGAAAACATCTGAATTTCAGAAGAGAGGTGAAAAGTGGGTAGAAAAGTGGCATGGAAGAAAAGAGTATCAAAGATGTGGTTTAAAAAAAAATGAGAGACAAGGGAATTGGAAGAAGAATAATGGGAGAAATGGAGGTACAAGAAGACGGACAGTTAAGTAGAGGGGTTTGGGGACAGTGATAGCACAGAAAAGGAGTAGCAGTTGTAGCAGAAGCATCCTCACAGAAGCAGAGTATTTTATGGCAGGTGAAGAAGTGGTCTAAAAGTGGTATGGAGGACTTAGGAGGACAATGACCCTGTGACAGTGAAGGTGTGGGAAAATGAGGAGCATCCTTTCAGGAGGGCTGTAGGGAAAAGAGTATCTCAAGGGAAAGCCAGAGCTCAACCCAGGACGAAACCTTCCTAAGAGTGGCTACCGATATTGGAATTTCAGACAGGCCTGCCATCCCTGGCATCTGATCCTTGTGCAAAGGAACCATTTCTCAAGATGTGATGTTCTCCATCTATGCTTCTCTTTTGCCCTGATTCCTGCAATATGACATTAACACAGTAGAGAAGAAATCCAAGAGAACCACTGGTCTGGAATAAACATCCTTTTAGACAAATTTTTTTTAAAAATTACACTTGGAAAAAAAAAAGGCAAAGCTGCCATGTTGACATCAGAACAGTAAAGCAGTTTATTTAGAGAGTCATTTGAACAAGGCAGACACAGTTTAAAGACCCACGGGGGTTTTCAGTTTCCACCATCTGGTTATTTCCCCAAGTCCTCTGCCATGCATCACAAAGCTCTTTGTGAATCCACTTAAAAAGGAAAGGGCTAACACTCCTTTTTATTTGCCTGAATGCTGCCCTCAATAAAAGGTGGTACATCCAAAGGATAAAATAAATATTCAGCCACAAAAATCACAGTGCAAAAATATATTTATTTATGTAGAAAGGTGTCCTCTTCTCATTGTTGAGTGTAAAAAGCAGGTTATAAAATAAGATGTTGAGTATGATCTCATTTTTGCAAAGAGTAAATGTGTTTTTACTATGCTAAAATATACAATAAGAAAATTTACCATTTTAACCATTTTCAAGTGTACAGTTCAGTGGCATTAAATACATTCTCATTGTTGTGCAACCATCACCATCATCCATCTCCAGAACTTTTCCATCATCCCAAATTTAAACTCTGTACCCATTACATGAAAGCAATGAATTTTTACATATGAACACAGAAAAGTGTGAATGGCTATACACTAAAAATGTTAATGTTGGATAAGTGCAATTGTAGGTGGCTTTTCTTTTCTACTTTTTAGTCTTCAATATTTTCTGATTCTTTTCTAAGAGGAACTGCATTTCTTGTGTAATTTTTAAAGTAATTTCAAACAATTTTTTTAAAAGACATTGACAGTTTAAACATTAAAAAAGAAAAACAGGATTAGGTGCCATGCTCATCACCTTCTTTTTTTTCTCTTTTCTTTTTTTTTTATTGTGAAATTTTTGTTGTACATTATTGTTTATCAATCACCATATAAGTGCATCCCTCCACCCTTTGTGCCCACCCCCCACCCCCCTAGCCCCTGGTAACCACCAAACAGTTCTATCCGTCCGTGTGTTGGTTTATCTTCCACATATGAGTGAAATCATGCACTGTTTGTCTTTCTCTTTCTGGCTTATTTCACTTAACATATATCTGCTCATTACCTTCTTTAGATCTGGACTAGTAAATAAAATACAGTCCATGAGTGATCTCCAGCAACTCAAATTTTCTATGTATTTTTTTAGAATGGAGGAAAAAAAGCCAACACCTAATAAATTTTGCAATACTTAAAAATAAAAATGATTACTGCAGCATAGATAGCTAATTGTCCCTCATTGCCCATTTTCCCCTTCTTCCTAGTAATAAGAATCCCAATTCTTAGCTGGATACTGTGATGCTCAACCAAAAGACAGTATTTCCTGGTCATCACTCTTGAATTAGTTGTGGCCATGTGACTAAATTTTAGTCAGAGGAAGTGCTATGTGCAACTTCCCAGAAGTGCCCTTGAAGGGAAGCGGTACACTCTTCTTGTTCTTCTCTCCTTGCTAGCTATAATACTTACTCGACGGCTGAAGCTCTAGCAGCCATCTTGGTCCATGAGGCAACATGGTAAGGATGAGGGAGCTACAACCTAGACATCTCTTTTTTTTTTATATGCAGTCAACCCAATCTTAACTGATACAATTACCTTCTAAATCATTTTCCTTCCAACATGTCTTATATTTAGTCCTATACTTTTGTCACTAATGATCACAAAAAGAATACCAATAAAAACTGGTAAATAATAAAGATGACCAAATACAAAGATGACCAATTGTCAACCCTCTTTCCACGTAAATTCTCTATAGAATCTGCCACTGTCAACCATGCCAACTTTCTGAAACTCTTTTTTCCATTGAATCAATACTTTGTAGATTTTGCTCCCATCTCTTTATTCCCTCCTTTTTAGTTTCCTTGTAAGGCTCCTTTACAATCTGCTGGTCAATTTCTCTAAACTTTTTTGACTATGATTAATTTTTTTCTATATGTTTAATGGCTGTTTCAGTAATCAAAATTTCCCTGAAGCCTCTGCTATGGACTTAATTGTGTCCCTTCAAAATTTATATGTTGAAGTCCTAACCCTCAATGTGATGGTATTTGGAGATGGGGCCTTTGAGAAGTAATTAGGTTTAGATGAGGTCATGAGGATGGGGCCCTCATGATGGAATTAGTGCCCATATAAGAAGAAACACCAAAGAGCTTGCTTCTTCTTCTCTCTCTTTCTCCCCATCATGTGAGGACACAGGGAGAAGGTGGTCATATGCATGCCAGGAAGAGAAAATGAATTGGCCAGCACCTTGAACTTGGACTTTCCAGCCTCCAGAACTGTGAGAAAATAAATTTCTGTTGTTAAAGCTCCCATTCTATGGTATTTTGTGATAGCAGCCCAAGCAGACTAATATACAGTCATTCACTCAATTATTACTGAATACCTAATAACTAATCATTTATTGAATGCCTACTATATGCCAGGAACCTTATATATTTTATCTCTAATCTTCTCAGAAACCCCACGAGCTAGAGATTATTATATTCATTTCAGAGATAAGAGGCCTGAGGGCCAAAGAATAATTACCCAAGGCACCATAGCTGATAAGTGGAAGAGTCAGACTTTGAATGCAGGCTTACTTACTCTAACGTTCACTACCCATTATACTCCATGGCACACACAAGTCTCTGCCTCAAGGGGTTTATGGTACTTTAGAGAAGCAATCCAGACAAATAAAAAGCTGAATAATTCAAAAGGTGAATAAGAGTATATGACAAAAACATAGAAATAATAAGTACTAGAAGTTCCTAGGAGGGAGAGATCACTGAGTTCAAGAGATCATGAAATGCTTCAATTTCTCCCCCATAAAAATATAGAGAGTTACCTTTAAGCCAAATCCTCATTGAAACCCATCCATACCAAGTAAATAAAGTGGTAAGAGACATTACAACCTTGGAATAAAGGTAAAACCTTAATAGAACTTGCTTTGACATTTAAATTAGTACCTTTAAAAAAGTCACCAAAAAAGCATTTTCCTTCTACAAGGTATGCCACAGGTGATTTGTTTCATCACATCTTAATCTTTGGGGGAAAAAAATTACACAGAAACTTAGCTTTTCTAAATTGTCTACTAAAGTTAACCAGTTATTGACTAAAAACCAACAGGGGAAATAGTTAAAACTATTTTCTGGAAGTGCATGAAATTAGATTATCTGCTTGTATTTGACGATAATTTGAAAAGGTCTGAGAAATTCCTTCACAAAGTAAGAAGAGCTATAATGATCAAATAAAAATTTAACAATGCATAGGTTAGACAGGAATGTGGAACACAGGACCCAGCCTCAATCTTGGAACAATATATCTTCAATTTTCTTAAAGTGATAGCTAGTTACTTAACTACTAAGCAGTTTTGTAAATAGGTAATTCTGAAGTTTAAAAAAATTTTTCATGTATACTTATAAGAATTCAAAAATTTCCATGGAAATCTATGACAGCCTATACATAAAATCAAGGGGCAAAAATGAATCCAGTATTGATTTTTTTTTTTTTCTTTAAAGATTTTATTTATTTACTTTTTCTCCCCAAAGCCCCGGTAGATAGTTGTATGTCATAGCTGCACATCCTTCTAGTTGCTGTATGTGGGACGCAGCCTCAGCATGGCCAGAGAAGCGGTGAGTCGGTGCGCGCCCGGGATCCGAACCCGGGCCACCAGCAGCGGAGCGTGCACACTTAACCACTAAGCCATGGGGCCGGCCCCCAGTATTGATTTTTAAAAAGCAAATTCAATTTGTATGTTCTAGTGGCTGTTAGAGGAAAATATTTAATTTATAAAATAGAAAAGATACTTTGATAATGCCTTTTAATTCAACAAAAAATTAGAGCTATTAATTACAATTTGGTTGTGTGTCAGAAACAATATTATGTTTTCATTATAAATATAAGACACATTCATTACTGGAAATTTGGAAAATGAAGAAAAGGATAAAGAAAAAAAATGTAGCCATGTCCTCACCATCTCTAAACACTAACATTTCTTTCTAATTAGCATATTTTTATATTTTTTAAAAATGTTGATCATTCTATACAAATTAGATATTCAGCACTCTTTACTTTTTTTTTCACTTAAACATACGGCATTTTCCCATGTTGTTATAAAGCCTTCAAAGCAGTCACTTTTAATTCCAGGAAACATTCCAATGAATTCACTTAATCGCAATTCACTTTAAGCAATTAGGTTGCTTTCTGTTACGTTAATAATGCCATGATGAATATCTCTGTGCTTTTTCTGATTCACAGATAATTGCCTTAGCATAGATTCTAGCAGTGAATTTACTAGCCAAAGTCATACAATCAGCCAACAGCAGGACCTGGCTAAAGAGATGTGGTCGAGTCAGCGTGTACTGGTTCACAAGTGCTGACTGTTCGATATTCAGGAATTTTCTAAGCCAGCTGTTAAATACAGACATCATTAAAAATTAAATTTTGTAAATGTACAATCAAATAGATTTTATTAAAACAAAGACAGTAAATACTCAAAACTGATAATTTGTTAATTATGTCACTACATTTTACTATTATCTTTGCTCGAAGTTATTTCTACCTACTGTATCTATATGGTGGGAATACTACTATATAATGGTACTCAATTGTGCATATTTTCCCAACTCCACACTCAGTCCTGTTGTGTTGGTAGCATGAATTTGGCCATAGTGGGAGTATTCATATCATGGCAATTGGAAAATGCTACAAATTGGGGCTTTCTAACCCCTAAAGAAGCCGGAGAATTAACCTGATTGTTCAGATGGTGAGCTCTACACGTATCTGATTTATTTTGCCCTCAAATTGCCTATTTTTCTACCTTTCTACACCTTTAAAAAACCCTCAAAAAGACAGAAGCAGAGACTGACATCTAAGCATTTTAATCAGTTTTACTACTTGAGCCACTTAGTAAATGTTTATAAAGTATTTTTGAAACGCACTGTGTTGAGTGGCTGTCAGTGATACAGACATGTTTAAGTCTTCAAGGAGAGAAGATAAGATATGAACAAATAATGATTTAACAAGATAAAAAATGATAAATACCATAAGATAAAATGACACAGGGATGTAAAGAAAGGAGAGATTATGAACTGCTGAAGAATTTTAAAAGGTCCACAAAAGATACAGCATTTTTAGATGAATAAATAGTGTCATAGAAAAGTGAAATGATTGTTTAAGGCTATCAAAACTCCATCCTCTTCCTTTTGTAGCACTTTTACATATCTGCTTTATAACATAACACTCCCCACTATGCTATGTTGTAATGACTATTATATACCTCCACCCCACTATACCACTCATACCTCCAGAGCAGAGCTTTCTTTATCTTTGTATCCTCATCGTAGTAGATGTTCAATAAATGTTTCTGTAACTGTGGGCCCTTTAGGACCAGTTCAACTGACCCCACCTCTTATCAACAGAGTGATTAAGAATTGCCTTTCAGGGGCCAGCCCAGTGGCGCAGGCACTTAAGTGCGTGCGCTTCTCTGCAGTGGCCCGGGGTTCACCGGTTCGGATCCCGGGCGGGCACCGACGCACCACTTGGCAAGCCATGCTGTGGTGGCATCCCATACAAAGTGGAAGAAGATGGGCACGGATGTTAGCCCAGGGCCAGTCTTCCTCAGCAAAAAGAGGAGGATTGGCAGATGTTAGCTCAGGGCTGATCTTCCTCACAAAAAAAAAAAAAAAAAGAATTGCCTCTCAGGGGCCGGCCCAGTGGCGCAAGCAGTTAAGCAGGTGTGCTCTGCTTCAGCAGCCCGGGGTTCGCAGGTTCGGATCCTGGGCACGCACCGACGCACCGCTTGTCAAGCCATGCTGTGGCAGCGTCCCATATACAGTAGAGGAAGATGGGCATGGATGTTAGCTCAGGGCCAATCTTCCTCAGCAAAAAAGAGGAGGATTGGGATCGGATGTTAGCTCAGGGCTGATCTTCCTCACAAAAAAAAAAAAAAAGAAGAAGAATTGCCTTTCAGAAAATCTGCAAAGTCATGTAGCCAGGGCATGTGCAAAAGAAGAAATTGTGACCTGAAATGACCTCGGAACCAAAGATCCTCCTTCCCACAGAACTCAAGGACCAGGACACGACTGGAAATTGAAAGTGGACTCTTATCAGAAGTGAGGGGCCCCTCATTCAGGAAGATCTGGTGTTAAAATTTCTTCCCCACCTCATCAAAAATGTTTAGAGACCCAACATAAATGTTTAGAACCCTGTCATAAATGTTTAAAACCTTACCATAAATGCCTGAAGCCCACCAATCAAAACCTGTCCCACCAGCATTTCCATGTGCCAGCCTGTTCTCCCTAACCTCTTAAATTTCACCCCAAATCCTGAATCAGGCAGACAGATCTGAGGGCACACGCCCCCTGTCTCCCTGCAGATTGATCTCACAGAATAAAGCTGATCTCTTTTCCCAAAGGCTGATGCCATAATTAATTGGCTTGTTTATGTGCATCAGGCAGAGAACTCCAATTTTGTGCAATAACATTTCTTTAGTGAATGAGCGAAAGAATGGATTAATGAATAATAGCTCACATTCGTGAGCTTACAATGTGCTAAACACTGTCCTAAGCACTTTACATATGTTAAATCATTTAATTTTCACAACACTATGAGGTAGGTGCAATTTTTACCAATGAGAGAACTCAGCCATTTTACAGACAAGGGAACTGAGTCACAGATTGATTAAGCAACTAGTCCAAAATCTCACAGATGGCGGACGAGCTGGAATATAAACCCAGTCAGTCTAATTCTAGAGTCCTTGCTCTTCACCACTCCACCATACCATCTCTCAAATGAATGAGTGAGAAGCAAGACAGGATAGGACCGAATCCATGGAGCTCCTTCTTTTTGCATTCATTCTTATGTTATTTCCAAGTTAAAAAAAAATAATGTATGCTTCTAAATTATGTATCCCAGTCAATGTAATCAGTTCATTCACATCCAGAGTAGTACAGGTCTCTCTTAGATCTCTAAATTTAAAAAAATAAGTGAGTCTCAAACTTGACAAATTTTGATCATGCAAATTTCTACACATACTCCTAATCAAATAGTATTTGTTTTTAAAGAACACCCTAAATTTTCCAATTGGAAAGAAAAATATTTAAATATTCAAAAATGATGTTAGACACTCCGTTTGAGTTTTGATAATATAACAAGGATATCCTTTTCTTATCTGTGTACTTAAACTTGTTATATATTTATATATGCAGAGCCTAGGAGATATAGTATAACTGTGTCACAAATGTACAGGGTGAAAGTCACTTTGGCCCACCCTTAAAATAGCACTACTGAGTTCTGAGGGACAAAGAAGACCAAAAAGCCTCTAAACAAGTTGGTCAGAGACTGCTAAATCTCCAAGGCAGAATCAACGGGTTTAAAAGAAAAAAAACAGGGCCTGAAATATGTCAAACAAACATTCATACTGTTAATGAAAAAAAGAAGAAAAGAAAAAGGGAGAGGGTGGGGAAGCAATCCTTGCCCCTGATAAAATAGCTTCATGACAATGGGGATTAAAAGATCAATGACCCTATCAATAAAGCCTTGTAGTTTCAACATCAATGAAGGAAAAGATAGCAATTAGGTAAGATTATCACACCAAAATTAAGATATTATATTTACTTCCATAAAAAGCATTGGAATCAATCAATCAATCAAGTTTGGTAAGTTAGTCCAAGATTGTTGTCAAATAGAATATTATTCATAATTTATTGATTCATTTGGCACCGCTTCATGAAGAAATACCAACCTATTTATCATACCCCAGCTCTAAGAATACATAAGAACGTAATCTTGGAGGTCTGATCACTGTACTCATTTAAGAAATTACTTATTAGAAACTGTGCCTCTCTTAAATCCATTCTAATACAAGAAACAGAAATATGCATTTGAAATATTTTTAAATGTTTAAATAGATAATACGATGCAAGTTAAAAAGTAACTTCTTTGTTATCCATCAAGGTCAGTGAAGGTTATATTCCAGTTAATCTGATATTCTGATTCAGTTTCTTCAGCTGTAAAATAAAACTGTTATGGATTAAATGAATCAATATTTGTAAAGTATTTAGAGTAATGCTTGACACATAGATAAAGTGCTACATAAGTGATTATTAAATAAAGTGATATAATTGTGGTAAATTGTATTTCCAAAATGTCCTCAGCGATATTTCTGGTTCCACATGCTCTTCCAGAACCTTGCCACTTCTCATCACAAGGTAGAGTCTATTTTTCTGCCCTTGAACCCAGGTGGACTTTTGACTTTTGTAACCAACAGAGCAGTACAGAAATGTTCTGTGATTTTCAAGGCTATGTCATTGAAAGGATACAGCTTCTGCCTGGCTCTTTCTTTTTGGAACGCATGCTCTGGGGAACCCAGAGACCCCACTTATGGAAGCCCAAACTAGTCCATTTGGAGAGATCACCAGGAGAGACACAGGTAGGGAGGAACCAGAGCTTCCCAGCCAACAGCCAGCAACAACTGCCGGACATGAACAAACGAGCCTTCAGATGATTCCAGCTCCCAGCCTTTGAGTTTTCCAGCTTCAGACACTGTGGAACAAAAAAAAGCCATCCCTGTGTCCTGTTAAAATTCCTGATCCACAGAATCTGTGAGCATAATAACTGGTTGTTTTATGCCACTAAATTTTGGGGTAATTTGTTACACAGCCATAGGAACAGGAACAATAAAACTGCCATACTTAAGATTTGCATTTCAACTAAAATCAAAAAGATTTTGAAGTGGCTTACTAAATTCAACATAATGCAAATACAGCAGAGATAAAACAGATGAGAGACATAAAACAAAGTAGAAACAATTGTCAGGCATCCAACATATTATTATAACAACAGCAACAGCTAACAGTTACTGTCCTCCACGCATAAGGCACTGCCAAGAGCCATGGTTTAATGCTCCTAACAGCCCTATAAGGGTACTGGTATTATCTCTATTTTATATGCTACATGCAAATCAGAAACAAAATACCCTAAGACTAAAATTATGAAAAACGTATTTTCATCTTGCTTTGTTGATTCAGATGGCACTTTTTGGATCCTTGTAATGGATCATTTTCATGACTATTGCTAAAATAGACCAGGGGTTTGCAAACTTTTTCTTAAAGGACCAGATAACAGTCTAGTCTTTGAAGGCTACATATAGTCTATGTTGCATATTCTTTGTTTTTTGTTTGTTTGTTACAACCCTTTAAAAATGTAAAACCATTCTTAGCTTGTGGGTACTATAAAAACATGCTGTGGGCTGGCCCCTGGGCCATAGTTTGCCTGACAGACCACAACAGGGAAATGCCGAATACTACAAGCTTAAATTAATAAAACCATTTTTATTATAATACTTATAATAGCATCTACACTTATACTAAATTAAGAAAATATCATTTCTGGCTCCAGCTTACTATTATCCACTAGAACCACAAGCTTCCTTGAACTGTTGGTAAGTGAAAATGTAGACCCAAACATCCATAATTTCCATTACAATAAATGTCTATTCATAATTGACATTCACCTACTTTGAAAAGGTCTGGAATACTGTCTGAAAGAAATGGTCTCTCTAGGGTCTAATTGCTCCTCCAGGCATTTACATACACATCTCTCTGTTTGTTTACCAAGACTCATGACAGCCCAGTGTGATTGATAAAACACTGAACACACTTCTAATCTTTAGTGTCGATCCTTTGCAAGAAAATGTTTATTATTCTTGGCAGGAAATGATGGAAACTAGTAAGAAATAGCCAGACTACCTTCATATGTAAGTGAACTGGAATTTTTAGGGAACAGTTCCCCCTAGTAAATTTGTCTACACACAGCTTAATCAACCAAATTTATAGCTGTTAACAGGTTGTGCCTCTGTATTCCCGAACATATAAATAAACTTCTTAATCAGAACAAAAACAGGTTCAGAGTCCAGTTGTTTAAACTGGAATTGGTACAGCCAGTACCTAAATGCAGTTAAAGTGACTGTCAAGGAGAATCACAATCTTAATAGAAAAGTTGTTTTCCAGTTTCCTCAAAGCTACAAAGATGCTACTCGGCAAACACGTCTATGATCATCCAAAACTGAAGTTACATGATCTCATTAAAAATAAGATGCCCAATTTAATGCCCTATCAAACATACAAGTTTTCAAATTGAGCTTCCAAATTAGGAAGAAGTTAATTACTTAAATTCAAATTGGAAGGGGAAATATTTTTGAGAGCCTGTAAATCAGAAGGCCCTTAGAAATTGAAATGAGTGAGGAAATAAACTCATTTATAAAACATTTTATTCATTTTGCTTAGGAATGCAAAAGTAAAAAATAATAAGTATAGGTTGATAGCCCTCTTTACAGACTAAGAATAGATAGGAGTTGATTACTAGTAGCTAAGGTGTTGGTCATGTCATGTTTATACAAGCGTGTTGCCTTGCTGAATTAATTGTTAAAAGTCATTGAGAAAAGTAACCAATGAGAGCACTGAAAGGGCACAGCTAGCCAGTTTATATCCTCCATTTTTAAAATCTCTGGAAAATTAGAAGTATTATTTCAAGGCATCTGATATTTTTACTATTGTGTACGACTATCTACCTTTCTTTCATCCAAAAGATCATCCAAAAGACAAAGAATACAAATTTCTTTGTATTCAGTACAAACAAAATAGAGCAACTAACCATACAGAAAAATCTATCACCCATAAAAATAGCACTCTTGAACCTATATTACTACATAATTGACAAACTCTATTATTAGTTGAGCTTAAACAATGCCATACCCAGTATGAAACCTAAATTTTATGATAGATACTCAAATGCTATAACATCTGCCAAATCCTACTTTTCTTCAAATTATTCCAATATGACTTCAAACTAAGTCTCCACAGTAGAAGTTGAATAGAAGAAAAAGCTCAAGTATATATATTTTCAAAGTACTGGGAAGGAACCCAATAACATTTAAAATAATAATAAATAATAAAATAATAATTTAAGCAAGAATATCTACTTATAAGCATCTGAATTCTTCTGACACAGGAAATATTTTTATACCGACAAAACAGAGCCCATTACTCTCAAACCTTACATATTTGTATTAGAAAAGCGGGGAGAGATTTGGTCCAAATAAACAAAATGAATAAATGATACAGGACCCCAAACAACTAACAGCTTCTCCAATGAAGCTATATGTCTGATGACCCAAGGTTTCAATGATCTTTTTCTCTGAAGTTCTATAGCATCTGTGGACTAATCACACGGTCAAGCAGCCGATTAGATATTGATTTGTATTGTTTTCAAGTCATTTCTTATGTTGCTGTATGTCTTTAAAATCTTTTGAATCTCATAGCCATCTAAACACATCAATAGGGCCGGCCCCGTGGCTTAGCGGTTAAGTGTGCGTGCTCCGCTGCTGGCGGCCTGGGTTCGGATCCCTGGGCGCGCACCGACACACCACTTCTCCGGCCATGCTGAGGCTGCGTCCCACATACAGCAACTAGAAGGATGTGCAGCTATGACACACAACTATCTACTGGGGCTTTGGGGGAGAAAATAAATAAATAAATAAAATCTTAAAAAAATTTAAAAAAATAAACACATCAATAAGCAACTCTTAATGAACTACTCGCTTCCTTAAAACTTTCCTTAGTGTTGTGGAAAGGTAGGTTCCAATTAGACATATAGAGCTCTGCATATCAAGTTGAGGATTTGCAATTAATTCAGTGGATCATGGCAAGCCACTGAAAAAGAATGAAATGGTAACAGCAATATTTGAAGAAGAGTAATCTAGATGTCTTGTGCAGGATTAGAGAGTTGAAGGACTGGAGGAAAAACAAAACAAAATTAAGAAACTATTCATTTGTCCACAAAACAGGTGGCTGGCCAGGGCCTGAACTAGAGTGGTGGGAGGGGAAGTAGAAATGGGCATAGAAACAAATGAATAGATTGAGGGAGCCTGAAAATAAACAGTCACAAACCGATAATTTATTCAGTATGAGAATAAGATAGAAGGAATGGTCAAAGATGACTAGTTTCAGTTCAGCAAACATTTATGGAGACCCTGCTTTGTGCAAGGCACTCAAAAGTACGAAAATAGATCAGCTCTCAAGGTGCTCAAAATCTAGAAAGGCAGACAGACAATGTCCATAAAGATAGTGAAGTTTGACCATAATGAATATTATAATATAGGTATAAACAACGTTATCATAGTCCAGAGGATGACACAATCAATCCTGAGTAGAATTGGAAAGACCAACATTTTAAGCCTGAGTGACTGTCAGAAGAATGGTACTTTTGCCAAATAATGTGTACTCTTTCTTCAAAATGTATCTTTTCTTTTTGCTGAGGAAGAGTCGCCCTGAGCTAACATCTGTTGCCAATCTTCCTCTTTTTGCTTGAGGAAGATTAGCCTTGAGCCAACATCTGTGCCAATCTTCTTTTATTTTGTCACCGCCACAGCATGGCCGCCGATGAGTGGTGTAGGTCTG